GAAACAAATCTAACTGTAATGAATTTAATTGGGATGGAAATCACAGAATATCGTTTAGAAAGAATTGGTTTGTATCGATATAAGATCATGTTAATTGAGATTGACGAATTATCTCTTATTTGAAGAACTTTCTTCTTTTCCATTTCCTTTCAGCGAAAACGGAATTACATGATAAGATCTCGTTCTTCCTTTTTCTTGTAGCGACCTCGATTTCCTGTTTGACCTGTGTTTGTGGTGATGAATTGATGTATCCCCAGAGAGGTCATTGCAAGGGCATAGCCTCGCGCTGTGAGGCCATTGCAGAATCATTACTAAATACACACTCACTACAAACACTGCAGCGACACACACACACACACACACACACACACACACACACACACAAACACATGCAGATAATAATATACATAATACATAATATACATACATAATAGAATAATAAAATAATAATAATAATAATAATAATAATAATAATAATAATAATAATGATAATAATGAGTAAGTGGTATTAGTTGTTCGGGATGTCACTGCAAAAGTTAAAACCTCTCGGTCACACACACACTTGTTGCAGAGGTATAGCCTGTGGAAATCTGTGCTGTGCGTGGCTGGGGGTGCGTGGCTAATGTGCCTTTAGGAGGCCTTTGCGAGGTCTTAGCGAGGGCCACCACCTTTCACTGACACTCTCATTGCAGAGAGAGCGTAAGCGGAGGCAGTGTGAGTATTGATGAGTGCGGCCGACGCCTTTCTGGGCCCGGGCCGCCCCCGTCCGCAGCAGGCCTCGTCGCCCTCCCGCCTCCAGGACCCGTGGGTGCCCCGCACCGACGGAGGGGCGAGAGCAGCTTCCCGCTCGCCGTCGCCGTCAGCCGCCACCACCGCCCCCCGCAGCGTCTTCTTCGACACGATCGCCTCCAACCGGGCCCGGAGGGGCGACGCGAGGCAGGCGTCTACGTCGGCGCACGGCGACCTTGGCGACGTGGTGCTCTTCCTGCAGGGCGCCGAGCAGACGTCGGGCACGAAGCTCGACCACAGGAATACCAAGGCCGGGAGGAAACACACCCAGCGGCAAGCGCAGCAAAGGGACCAGCAAGATCAGGAACTTGTGCAAATTAATCAACAAGTTCAGCAGCTGCTCCAGCAGCAACAGGCCCAGCAGCAGAAAATTCAGCAGGAGGGAGCTAGGTACCAACAGCTTCAGAGACAATATCAGCAGATAAGCACGCAGCTACAGAAGCAGACGCAGGTTTTCCAGACGTTACAGCAGCAGTATTTAGATTTCACTCAGCGGTATCGCCAAAAGAGGCGGCAAACTCCTCAACAGCAAAGTCAGCAGCTGCAATGGCAACAGTATTATCAATATAAAATCAGCCACCAGCACCAGCAAGTACAGCAGATAGGGCAACAACAGGCTCAGACACACCAGCAACTAGTGCAGCTCTACCAGCAATTGCAGCAACAACAACAGGCACAACAGCAGCTACAGCAACATTTGCAACAACAACTACAACGACAAGAGCAGCTCCAAAAGCAGCAAGAGCAGCGAGAGCAAGAGCAACGAGAACAAGAGCAACGAGAGCAAGAACAGCTGCAGCAGCTGCAGCCGCCGCAGAGGCCACGCTCCCGCTCGACCTCCCCGAAGCCCGACGCCGGCCAGCAGCGGGACGACGCCTCGTTCGACGCCATCAACTCCCTCCTTCGTAATGTGCTAGAGGCGGAGGACGAGGACGAGGAGGAAGAGGAGGACGAACACGACGTTGATTTAGTGGAACTGTTAGAAGAGGAAGAAGAAGAGGAAGAGGACGACGAGGAGGAGGAAGACGAAGAGTCTCTGGCAGACCAAGAAGATCTGAAAAACAAAGTCGAACAGTGTGCGGCGCAGATCCGATCCCTGAGCACAGACGACCTAGTAAGTAGTGACTTGGAAGTTGTGCCTCGCGTGCGCCGGGCTTCGCTGTGCCTCAGCAAAGGACCCTCACACCTGAACGTAGGGCCCTCCTTGACGCACCTAGGCCCAAGCGGCGTCCAAAAAGGTCCCGCCCACCTGAACAAAGGACCAGCGCGCCTCAACAAAGGGCCCAGGTACCTGAGCCGAGGGCCGAGTAAACTCAGCAAAGGGCCACAAGACCTGAACATCGGGCCTGCTCGCCTGAACGTCGGCCCTTCGGACTTCCACAAGGGTCCTGCAGGAGAGTATACCGGTCTTCCTACGCCTTACAAAGGGCTCTCCTCACTGGCCAAAGGTCCTTCCCAAAAGATCCTGGGCCCGGCTAGTACGCGACGTTCAACGGAAGCCCTTCACTGAAGCTGAAGCGCCGTGGCCCTTTCAGCTCTTCTGCAGCCGCCGCTTTGTACTCTGAACGCGGGGACTCGTATCCCGTCGTCACCGCTTTCCTTTCACAGGAGCTTTGCACGCGCGCTCTCTTAGTACTGTCTCTGCATGTCTGTCAAAACTGCAACATGATATTCAATCCACGTATTTAAGCCTCACGGACGTACGAAGGGC